TTTCTTCTTTTTAAAGATTATTTTACTTGAAAGTGTTACAGAGGAAGGCAGGGGGTGGAGGCAACAAAGAGATCTAGCCACTGGTTCACTCCCAAAAATGGTCAGAAAGAGCTGGCCTGCTTCGAAGCTGGGAGATAGGGTCTCCCATATGGGTACAGGTGGCCAAGCATCCTTTGCTGTTTTCCCAGGCCACTAGCAGAGAGCTGGATCAGAGGTGGAGCAGCTGGGACACTAACTGATACCCATATGGAAAGCTGGCAGCACAGACAAAGGATCAGCTTGCTAGGCCACCATGTTGGTTTCAAGGGTTGTTCCTTTTCTGATTATGGAGTTTTTATCTTTGCAGATTGCAAGGCTTTGGCGGCTGGGTTCTCACTCTGTTGTCGCTGGGTGGCTTGGGTTGTTCACACCGGGCAGCTGGGGGTATTCACACCACACCTCCAGTCAGTGCCGAAGGTCACTGCTTTCACTTAGGGGGTGGGCGGTTCTCAGTAGAGCAATACAGTCCCACAGCAATCATTCTTGAGCAACTTGACTTTGCTCTCTTGACTGCTTAGTCTAAGGCTGCAGGCAGAGAGCCAGGAGTCATTGACTGCAACAGTACAGCCTCTGGGTCTTGGGGCCGAGGCTGTGGTGCAGGTGCAGCAAGGACAGAGACGTGGAGGACCCAGTGCTAAGGGGAATGTGGTAAGTATCTGTTGATTTAGTGAATGAAGGATAGCTGAGCCCAGGCAGCACTGCTGGACTCATTTCCTCCGGGCCCCTGTGTGTGTGTGCATGTGTGTGTCTCTGCTGCAAAGTGGTCTGGGACATTACTTTTCCATTGATGGAGACAGGGATGACTGGGAAAGAGAGAAGAACTAGGGCTGCGAGGGGGAGGGCTGCACCTTTGACATCAGGCTCAGGCCCTTCTCCATCCCACCCTGCCACCTCCTTCCTGTCCCATGGGGCTGCGGCAGAGGTGGTTTGCTGAGCACATCTGAGACTTAAGGAAGGTGGGTTGGGTTGGTTGTGCAGGGCCAAAGGCTGCCATTAGTGTGGCCAATGGGAGCGGCCTGAGAGCTATGCCTCTTCCTCTCTTGGGGGTCTCAGAGATGCCTGCAGGACAACCCGGGGGGGTGGCTGGTGCTTGGTCAGCTGGGCATCAGCATCCACATCACCTGGAAATCGGTAAGGCTGGAGCCGTCTGGGCCCAGAGCGAATGGACAGATGACAGGAGGCAGTTTCTCTTGGTTCATTAGGGAAAATGGTTAGGGAGCCGCTGTGCCCTGCACAGTGCTGGATGGACAGCAGTGACTAAACAGGCTGACTCCTTCCCCGCTGAGGAGCGTACAATCCACCAGTCAGTCACATAACCTCGCCCGGTGCAGGCATTTGCCCTAAGGGCCCCTCAGGCGCCCGGCCCTGTGTCCGTAAGTCCAGCTGTCAGGGCAGGACCGTGGGAGGACGTGACCTCTGAACCGGACCTGAAGATGGGCATGAACTGTTGTTGGCAGGTGTGGAGGGCTGGGGGCAGGACTCCTTAGGCACCGGGAGGTGGGAGAAGGTCCAGGATGGGGCCACACAGCAAAGTGGGGAGGACGAGGTCACTGGAGAAGGTGACGCGTGGAGGGGGGCAGCAGACCCCCACAAGGCTGCCTGTAGGCCTCAATGCTGTGGGAAAAGGAGTGATTGATATTGTTCTTACAAAGATGGCACTGGCATCTCAGCTGGAAATGGGTCAGGAACAAGCAGGAAGACAAGCAGGATGTCTATGGGATGATTCGGGTGCCTACTGAGAAATGAGGGCAGCGTGGCCATAGTAACAGAGGGCGGTGCTGGAACTTACGCAGTGTGGCTATTGCCCCTTTGAGAGGTACACACACATGGACACATGTGCACATACACATGGGTTCCTGGCCACCTGACACATCCTGGGATGGTGCTGTGCATATCTCACACACACACACACACACACACACACACACGATTTTCCAGTTTCACTCTCCAAACGCCCACCACGGCTGGCACTGGGCCGATTCCGGAACTCAGCCCAGGTCTCCCGCGTTGGGGACAGGGAGCCATGAGCACTGCCTCCCGGATCTGCCTGGGCAGGAAGCTGGAGTTCCGAGCTGAAGCCAGATCTCAGACCCAGGCACTGGGGTGTGGACTGTGGGCGTCCTAACTGCCAGGCCAACTGCATGCTCCAGGAGGTTCCTTGAACAAAGAATGGAGACATGAAAGCTTTTTCTCACGCCCTTGCCTTGGCACAGGCAGGCACAGATGGTGGCCTCAGATGTGGCAAACAACAAATATTTGGACCGTGCCCGTCTGCCCCCAGTGCTGGCTGTTTGGCTTTGGGTCAATGGAGATCTAACTAGGCCATGTAGAGCCCCACCTACTGGGAGTCAGTTTCATGTTTAAGAGTTTCCTGAGAAAGCTTTCACAACTTCTGCTGTTTTGAGATAATGACTAGGGCAGGCACAGTGGTGCTGCAAGCTAAGCCTCAGCTTGGGATATCTGCATCTCGATTCAGAGTGCCCCAGATGGAATCTCACTTCTGCCTTCTGATTCAGCTCCCAGTTGATGTACCTGGGAGGCCAGCAGGTGACAGCCCGGGGACTTTAGACCCTGTCATCCACCTCGGAGACCCAGATGCAGTTCCTGGCTCCTGGCTTAGGTCTGGCTTAGCTCTGGCTGTTGTAGGCATGTGAGGGGTGGGAAGCAAAAGATGTTTGCTGTTCTGCCTTCCAAATACATGAAAAATGAGTAAATAAAACATGCACAATGGCTATCGGGAAATTCCTACTCACCTTTCATCTCCATGTCTCTGGCTGCAGAAGGAAATGCTAAGATTAAGAAATCACTTCACCTTCCGGGCGTGGATGAGGCCATAGCGACAGTCTAGCTCAGCAATACAGAAAAACGGCTGTGCCTCGATCGAGAAGGGCCCAATCAGATCGCTCAGACACTCCACTGGCGGCCGAGCCCTTCGCCCCGGTGACTCACAGTGTGACCCGGGCAGCTGGGAGGCTTTCCGAGGAGCTGCGGGACTGACTCACACGCTGCCCCTCAAACCCATGAGCCCCAGGGTGCTCTCTGGTTCTGAGATTCTGAGAAGCGCCACCTTGAATCACCCAGAAAGTGGGTGGGCAGTGGCAGTGGCAGGTGGGCAGGCTGGACTGGGCCAACAGGAACTGGCTTTTCTCTGGAAGTCTCTGTTCCCAAGCCACACACGGAGCTGCAGCCTCAGCTGACAGGGCGCTGTGGCTGTGTGGCTGCGGACAGGTGCTGTGTGGGCCCTCCCCCCGGCCCTGACTCCCTGACAGGTAGAACCTGGGGTTACTGTGGGTGGGGCAGGGTGAGGGAGTGACTCCCCAGGCCGTCCAAGCTGGCTTGTTCTTGCAGCTACTGGTGCCAGGTTCCTCTACGCCCTCCTCCACGTGGGTGGTCAGGTGACTACTGCTGCTGTCAGCTGAGCTGGTGGGGCAAGGCCGTTCTAATGAGCAAGCCATCCTTCCCCGACCTTCCACTGTAGCTCTGGGAAGGGCAGCACGCTCCCTGGTACCCCACCAACCATGTGCTGTCTCTCGGGGTTACCAACCTCAGAAGGGGGTGAGGGTTCCGCCAGCTGTTTTCATGAGGCACCATGTGTGGGCCAGAACCAAACCATTTGTTTCATGGCATTCAGGGTGACTGCCCCTATAGCTGGCGGTGGGCAGCCTGAAGCACTTGACGTGGGGAACTTTGACGGGCTGCGGCATGCCCTGTCACCAGGCTCCTCACCAGTGCCAGGGGCTCACTCTGCCTGCTCTGAGCGCCCGTGGTTTCCACATCACCAGTGGCATCTCTGCCCAGGTTCTCACCTGCCTGCTCCCTCCCTCCCATGCTGCCCACGGCTATCCTGCCCCCTCCTCTTCCCTCAGTTTCTCTGTTGCCCCTCAGCCCCAGCCCCCCGCAGGAGCTGCTGCCTGCCACACACCCTCTTCCTCCCCCCAGTGCCCACTGCTGAGGGAACATACAGATCAAAGAATCCTAGAACCGAAGCTGCAAGGGACACGACTTCCACTAACGAACAGTTACCTGTGACCCTGAAACTCTTATCCTCACCGGGAGGTGCTTGGGTGCTGGCCCCATGCCTCCTTCCACGCCCACCACATGCTCCCAGCCCTCTCTCCCTAACACATGCACCTGCACATGGGTAAGACATACACACATCTGCACATATGCACACGTACATTCCAGCATGCCCTCTATGTGGCCACGTTTCCTGCCAGGTCCCACCAGGTGGAAACCAGGACAAGATTCTAGTGTGGGTAGAGAAAGAGGGAGCCTGGGGGGTCAGTCCTTCCCACAGGCCAGAGGAGAGATCACTCAGCCAGCTCCTCGCCCAGGGTCATATTCTGTTCCCTTACAGTGGCCTTGTCTATGTGCCACGGTAAGACATGTTCAAGGCAATCAGGAGGGAAGCACATTCGGGTCTGCCAGGGCTCTCTCCGACTGCTGAGCCCGTCCTCAGGCACGGCTTCTCATACCCTGTAGAGGCCAGGATGTTGCATTCTCTGCAGCTGGGCCAACGCACACAGCCCAGCAAGCTGCAGAGAGCTGCAGAAATCCCAGGCGCCTACAGCGTCTCCGGTCTGCTCCTGTCCATGAAGGCAGCAGGACGGCCCAGGAGGCGCTCCTTTCAGGGGGTGCAAGTCCCAGCGGGGCCTGGCCTTCCTCGCCTCTCCTTCTGCCCTGGCCCTGCCTGTATCCAGTTCAGGCTTGCTTTTGTGCACCTGTGGTATCACTGGGTCAGCTGCATCCTGGTTCTCAATGCAGCCGCGTGCACCATCTCGGAGGGAGGGAGGCAGGAGAGCTACTCTGACAACTCTGCAGGCACGTGGGCCCTGGCAGGTGTGATAGGATGCACCCTGCCGACACACCCAACTCCGTCCTGCGGAGTTGGGTCAGACATTGGCTGTGGCTCTGCTTCACTGCTCTGCCAGGCCAAGAAGGAAGCGGCATGAGCTCAAGGATGGGAGAAAGTTCCAGTTCATTGCCTTGCCCCCAATCCCACCCGGACACCCCCAGTGTCTCTGCACAGTGTGGCTGTGGTTCTCGGCCCGAGGTCCTTGTCTTACCAATTCATCCACCAAGCCAACTGCCAATAAGTTACTATTACAGGCCGGTGCACACCTGAACGCGCATGTGCACACCTCAGTGCCCATACGTGGAGGTGGTCACAAGGCCTGGTTTCCTCCCCCATCTTGTCCGCTCTCTTGCAGGCTCCCCTCCCCCCCACCACCGGCAGGTTCATCGCGTCATGGGTGCCACGTAGTTGGCAGGAAAGAGGCCCAGCTTGCTGTGCAGGCGGCCAGTCCACCAGGCCGGGTTGGAGCTATCCAGCACCTCCAGCACCTCTCCGCTGCGGAAGCCCAGCTCGTCGTCCTCCAGGGCCTCGAAATCATACAGCGCCCGGGCCCAGCGCACACGCTGTGGGGGTAGAAACACAGACAGGTGGTTCTGTTGTGTGCCAGCTGGCTGGGCCCTGCTCTGCTCTCCTCAGCCCCATGCCCCCTGGGGTCTACCCTTGCTGCTTCACAGGACCAGAGTAACCGCCCCCAGGGAGGAGGTTGGGGGGTGCTCGCCCGGATCCCAGCACTGGAACTGGAGCCCAGAAACAGAACAGGGTAGGGCCCGGCTGTCAGACTAAGAGGGCTCCCGGCACTGCTAGGTGGACCCCAGGACCCCTTATGCCCCTCCTCCCCGCCCTGAGCTTCCCGTGTTAGTGTGAGCTCTGTGCAAATGGACGCCCCTCTTTGCCTCTCTCGCCCCCTCCATGTCCGGGGAGCGCAGGCAGGGAGAGTCTGCTTACCCCCACTGCCTGGAGCTGCACAGGGTCTGTGTGTCTCCGATGCATGAGGGCTGGATTCATGTCACCACCAACACCCATGCCACAGTGTCCATCATTAATGTCCAGGCTGGCCCCTCGGCGATCCTGAAATAGGTGCAGTGGATGACCAGTTACCCCCCTGGCAAGGCACTTCTCAGGGGAAGAGAGGAGTACAGAGCCTCACTTGGGTGCACAGCTGGCTGGAATGCTGGGAATCCTTGCAAGCGGTGATGCAGAGCCCCAATGGGGACAGAGCCCTAACATCCTGAAGGCACAGGGGAAGGCCGATTCACAGGTTCAACCCAGGAAGATTCGTCGGGCACCTGCCAGGGGTCTTACACCCCACACCCGGGAGACCGGAGGGCAGCCTAGAGACTGTGGGGCAAGGTACGCTAGCAGGCAGCACAGCACGTGATGCCTGCGCACAGTGGGGGCCCGGAAGTTTGAAAATGCACACCATGAAAAGTCTGTGCCCTCATAGAGCTGAGAAGAGAGCACCCTCAATGTCGCGGAGTTTCCAATTAAAAGCAAGGAGGGAATACATGTTACAGGGGAGGAGGGTGAGGGAGCAGACAGGAGACTGCCTGAGTTGGCCTGGGTAAAACAAGGAAGGCTTCCTGGTTGAAGGACAGGTCGTAGGAATAGGAGGTGGGCACTGTGGTACATCCAGCTAAGCCAGGGGTTGGGATCCCCAAATCCTCTATCAGAGTTCTACTTTGAATCCTGGTTCCTTGATGCATCCTCTACAGCTTTCTGTCACTACGCCTGGGAAGGTAGCACATGCTGGTCCTAACCCCACCCCACTTGGACCCCTTGCCACTCCCAGACCCAGGCTTGAGGTGCAAGTTCTTGGCAGCAGCCTGGCCCAACTCCAGCTGTCGTAGGCATTTAGACAGATGGAAAATCTCGGTCATGCTTTCCAATTAGTTAATTAATTAATTGTTTAAAATGTATGCAAAAAAAAAAATCAAGGAGTGGGACTGGTCAGGGCAGGTGATTCCCAGCTCAGGTGGAGGGAATGGCACAGTAGCACGAAGGTGGGAGAGGGGACCTATGGACTTCAGGGCCTCTGCTGACAGGTGTTCGTCTGGCGTGGCAAGGCAGGGAGCTGCAGGCCGGGCTGGGCCTGACGTGCTCCACTAAGGAACTTAGCAGCGATGCTATCTGGCTGTTGTGTGGTTCAATAAGCCGCTTGAAATCCCGTCTGGAATAAGCTGGGTGAGGAACAAACCAGCACGGCCCTGTGGCCATGTGGCCTGCAGGAATTAATCCTGCTCCTGCTGGTGGCTGGGGTGGGATACTGGGACCTGAGGAGATAGGATTGTGCCATGACTATGTTCTCAGGATGTTGTATGTGTGCACGCATGTGTGTGTACCGCATGTGTGGACATGTGCACATGTTCGAGCAGGGAGCCGTTCAGTGGATGGAGCTATCTTTCCTGAGAAAGACATGTGGGCCACGGGCAGGGACTGGGGGTCTTTGCTATGATCTCTGGGACCCGACATGGCGGGACCAGGTGCAAGGAAGGGCTGGGGACTCCTGCCCAACTCTCTGTTCCATGTATCTTAGAGATACCTGGTGCAAGGGATGGTGCGGCAGGTACCGCTGGAGTGGCTGCGGCTGCTGCTGCAGCGGCAGTTGGGGGAATGGCGAGGGCGCAGTGGGCGGGTGGTCGGACAGCTTCCGGTTCACCGAAGGACGGACCTCTTCTCCCGCAGTCCCGCTGAGGTGGGGACTTCCCTGGGGCCTCCGGTCCAGGCTGTTGCCCCGGCGACCCTGCCAAGGAGAAGACACATGCAGCTCTAGCCTCCCAGTGCTGCCCCGCCCTGCCCCGCCGGCCAGCTGGTCGCCTTGCTGGGCTATCCCTGAAGTGGCTCCTGCTGTCTCCAGTTGTCCCCCCACCACCCCGCATCATTTGGGGGGTTTACAATGAACATTTCTCACGTGCCTGTTCATGCCCAGTGGTCTGATTTTTCTTGGTGATATCAGCCCCTCTTGGCACATGTCGCCACACAGCTGGACGCCCTGCCCTCCAGATGAGCTCAGCCACTGACTTGGCAAGGTTCTGACCCATCCTTTAGCCCCTGGAGCTGCAGGCCCAAACAATACCACCAGGCAGCACCATGGAAACCAGACCTGTGGCTGGGCTGAGGGAACGGGCGCGCCCTCTTCTGCAGCCGCATGAATCAGAATTACTGTGGTTATTTTTATTTAACAGTTATCCCCGGCCCCAGGCAAGGCATGTGTTAGGACTGTCCTAAGCACTTTATAAATACTAACTCATTTGATGAAGCTTTAATGCAATTTCATCTTGTCGCTCTTCTTGGAAGGCACATCCTGGCAAGTTCATTTCTCTGCCCTTTTCCGGGTTCAGTAACTCACCAGCTCTGGGGTTCCCCCCCTTGCTTCCCTCTCTGAAGGTGGGTGTGCACTGCTGGGAACACCCCTCCCTCCTCGGATACCAGCACACCAAAGGCGTGGGTTCTATGGGGTTTCCCAAAGCATGCATCTCTCTGCCTTTCCCGCAACCTGGCCGGCTGGGTGGTGCTGCCGCCTGTCCAGACCTGCCTCTCACCAGCGTACCAGGTGCTCTGAACAGTTGTTTATAAATTGTGCAAGTAAATGTACTTAGTGGAGGCCAGTTTGTGCCTGTATGGACCAGCTGGCGAGGGGCAGGGGTGGGACAATGCTGTCCCCTATGTCCTCTGGCCGAATCCCCACAGCATTGCTTCTGTTTTGGAAAACAAAAAGCAACCTGGCACTCAGATTTCTCATCTTGACTAGTTACTGAGTCCATGGACTGCAGTTCCAGCCGGTGCATTTTTTTAAGCACACGTGATTCCAGGCCGGCTATTCTGCAGTGCCCATCTCCCCACCCCAGCACAGGGCTCCAGCAGGGGTCGCCAGCCTGTTCTCCAGCTTTCTGGTCTTTTACCCGCCCCCAGCCTCCCTCCTCAGGGCAATGCTGTGGTTGAGCTGCTAGCCACAAGGTATGTGGCTAAACCAGCACCCACAATAAGAACTAATGCTGACAGACCCTCTCTTACCTTCATGGCTGTGCCAGGAGTACCATGCCTGCCCCATGTCATGCGGCAGGGAACTGAAGGCCAGGGAACTGAAGCCCCATGGGAGGAGGGGCCAAGCTGTTGCTGACATGGACATCTGACCTCAGAGCCATTCCACCTTCCAGAATACTCAGAGGACCAGCCCCCCTCTGCCGCCTCAGGTGCCTGAGCTTGGCGACTCAGCCAGGAGCCAGGACCTGATGGGGTCCCGCAGCGCACCTGATCCTCTCTGGGCCTGTCCCTCAGGAAGATCTGCTTCTGCTTGGAGATGGATGTTGTCCTGTAGTAGTCCACCAGCTTATTGAGGGATGGGAACTTCTCGGTCCATAGGAAGTAGTTGCCCTTGTTGTCACGCATGACCTTGAAGTGCTGCACGTCCTCCTCATGCCTGGAGAGCAAGGCAGACCCTAGTGGTGCACTAGCCAGTGACCTTGGCTTTGCACCCCAGGGCGCTTGCATCCACCCATGGTGGACACTGTGACTGCCCTGTGGAGGGGAAGGGGAGGGCTGGGCAAGCTCCTCTGGGGAAGAGAACACTCAGGGCACAGGTGCCAGAGGGGATCTGCACCTCAGCACAGGGCAATGAGACAGCTAAAATCTGTCTTGGTTATCGCAGTCAAGCTTTTACCAGGGACATTGTTCCAAGTGCCTTACAAACTAAAAGATCCACGTTTACTTGCAACATGGCAACATTCAAATTTTGTCCTGTGCTGGGACCCCTCCGTCAAGGGCTTTGAAGGCTTTTGCTAGCTCTGTGCTATCACCAGCTGCTTTGAACTGCCTCCTGTGAGCCCATCAGCGAGCATGTGAGTGAGCGAGCACTGGCAGGTAAGATGCTCCTCCAAGAACCTGTCGTCTGTTCTCGATGTAATGAGGAGATCTCTTGATCTTGCTTTGCATAAATCAGGTTACAGAATATTTTGAGCTTCTGCCAGGAAGTAGCCTACGGAATTGCTGAGTTTCATTGGAAAAGACCTTGGAGATTGTTTTTATTCATTACTTGAGGTTCAGAGAGATGCAGGGGCCTTGGTCAAGGTCACCAAGGACTTGACAGAGCTGAGCAAGATTTTGCATGCACACACACACACTCCAGGACAAAGGTACACACACACACACACACACGCAATTGATGTGAAAGGCAGAATTACAGAGACAGAGTGGGGCAAGGGACTGGATCTAAGGTAGAGCAGCCAGGACTTGAACCAGCGCTCATATGGGATGCTGGCATCACTGGCAGTGTCTTGATCTGATGGGCCACCACACTAGTCCTGATTCCAGTCTAGTAGGCATCCCGCTCTGCACTCACAAATGCTGGGGTACATGTGGGTCAGAGGTAGAGAGAGGTTGGATTTTATCTATCTGGAAAGAGACACCCAACTTTACTTTCCACTGGAGCCTCACTCCATTGCCAGGCCTTTCTGCTTTGACTGTTTTTCCATAGGAGACACAACTCCACTTAAAAAGACACCAGTAGTAACGCATGCAACAAGAATGGGAAGGGTTTGGGAAGTGGAGTTACCTCTGAAGGCTGGAGGATGAACTTGGGGTGTCTGTGATCAGAGAGGAGCAGGAATTCTGAACTTCAGGGTCTCTCTGCTGGGGTGCAGTGGCCACTCCATGGGCCAGCCCTGCCCCTGGTTCTGGCTGCTCCCAGAGCCTGCTCCTCTGCAGGACCACATGGTTCAATTCACTGTCGTTACTTCTCACCTCCAGATGAGTGGGAGGAAGGTGAAATCCTCCTGCAATCTAAGTATTTATCCACTGCCACTTAGGCAAAGGACTCCGCTTAAGACCTCAGCCCTTCAGGTTCCCTGAGTTGGCAGGTGGACAGCAGAATGGCCTTGGATCATCTGTTTGGACCTTGGATTCAAGGCATGCAAGAGGGAGGCAGAAGCTTAGCACCGTGGTCGCTTCTCCAGCCACAGTGAGCTCTTCCCTGCTGCCACCCACCCCGTGATGCGAAGCAGAGGAGAAAAGAAATCAGAACCAGGTTGCTCTGTGGCAGTTTGTACATTTCTGCACCGGGTTTCATGACGTTTGGGGTAGTGCTCACCACAAGATGCTACATCGCCTCAAGACTAGAAAAGGCGTCAGCAGAAGTCAAGGTTGACCCTGGATAGTTCACTTTCAACAAGGAAATACAAACTATAATTCCTAGTTCAATGAGTTGGAGTCATGGTCATGTAAACCAAAGCCACTGGGCACAGTGGGGAAAGCTGCCACCTACGATGCTGGCATCACCAACTGGTGCCTGTTCCAGTCCTGGTGGCTTGAATTCCCTGCTAATGCACCTAGGACAACAGTGGAATATGGCCCGCATGCTTGGGCACCTGCACCCACAGGAGAGACCCAAATGAAGCTCTTGATTCCTGGTTTTGGTCTGGCCCAGCTCTGGCTGTTGTGGCCATTTGGAGAGTGAACCTGCCAAAGAAAAAAAATCTTTCTCTGGCACTCTACTTTTCAAAATAAATAAAATCAGCCTTAAAAAGGAGGGGATGGGTCATCTCAAGATGTCCTCCAGTCTAACAAATTATTTGGTTGTAATCGGGGCCCTTAGGGAATAGGGCTGATTTGTAAGATTTATTCACAGAGCCAAATGTCACTGGGATCTAACACATTTAAAATCTGTGCTGCATCAGTATTGGCTGAGCTAAAGCTGACTATGGCCCAATGAGCAACAACGAAAGTCTTGGTTAAGGACTGGTTGGTTCAGCAAGAGCACAGGACAAGCACTGGGAAGGTACCTGTGTCCGCCAGGGCTGGCCAGCCAGCAAGACTGCAAGGGGAATGGGAAGATACATGCATTTAGTTGCAAAAAGTTTTGTAAAAGTCTCTGTCTCTTTCCCCTAATACACATTTTCCATGAACTTTTGGAAGATATCCGCATTGGTGGATTTCAGATATCTTTGCACCAAAATAAAATGTCTTTTGATTTTTGTGAAGTCTATTTATTGGAAAGGCAAAACAACAGGGAGAGAGGGAAAAGGGCAGAGGAGAGGAGAGGGGAGGAAAGGGGTGAAGAGAGAAGAAAGAATTCACTCCCTAAATGCCCGCAACAGCCTAGGCTGGACCAGGCTGAAACCAGGAGCCAAGAACTGCATCAGAGTCCTCCTGTGCAGGTGTAGCATCATTGGGCCATCCCCGGCATGGCGACAGAAAACGGAGGGAGAACTTGAGCCCAGGACTGGGACACGGGGATGTGGACATTCCAAACTGGGGCTTAACCCCTCTGCCCCACAAATCGTCTTTTGACTCCATTCTCCACAGGCTTTTTGATTAACTATTGTTTCTAAACATTGAAGTGGCCACAGTTTGTTCCCTAAGATTGGATTTCCATACTCAGAGCTCTTCAAGACCCATTGAGCAGTGTAGACCAGGACTTCCTGCCCGTGACCTTGACGGCAGGATTTGTTGCACGGTTGCCATGACGGCTCCTAATCTACTCTCAGCAGTTTCTCGTACTTTCACATGTGGTCACCAAATCTGATTATGTGACTTGCAATCCCTGTAGGCTGACCACGTGCAGTGTGGTCAGACCTGGGGCTCCCGTGTGTGGGGCTGTGTCATGTCATGTCTGGGGCCTGCACTGAGTCACTTCCTTCTGGGGGCCACCCAGGAGTGACATGTTGGCACTGCCAGGCTCTGCCAGCCAGCCTCAGCCCTGCTCTCAGTTTTGCCACCTGAGGTGCTATGTGCAGTCGGCCTTTCTCTGCTCCCAAGGTGTTTCAGTGTGTTCACGGGAAGATGACATTAGAAGGTAAGTCCAGGGGTTGCCGGAATGGGGCAGTGGATTAAGCTGCTGCCTACGAAACCAGCTTCCTGCATTGGAGCTATGGCTTGAGTCCTGCCTGCTCAGTTGCTCATCTAGCTTTCTGCTAATGCCTGGGAAAGCCAAGGAAGATGGCCTGAGTGCTTGAATTCCTGCTCCCCTATCTCGACCATGGGAGACCCGGGATGGTGCTCCTGGTTCCTGGCTTCAGCCTGGCCCAGCTGTGGCCACTGGGGAGCAAACCAGTGGGCAGAAAAAAATATATCTCTCCCCATCTCTCTGTTTCAAAATAAATGAATGAATCTTAAACACATGAGTTTAGTGCAAAACTGTTTCGAATGCATGTGTAGTTTTTCACTGTTAGGCATTTCCGTGAGCTTCTCAGAGGCCCCTCGCAGAGGCAACCTCTAGCAATGACTGAATTTCTGCCTTTGTTTGCACACATTTAAGCAAAAGGTGAAGAGCTGAACCCCTGGTGGGTGTGCGATGTCTCCTTCCCTCCCCTGCTCCTGACACACACTCCTGAGGATTGCATGGGTGCAAGGTGCTGTTCAAGGCATGAAGAAGCAGCAGATCAAAGTTCTGCTCCTTGCAGGCAACTGGGCTGGCAGGTGGGCAGGTGTTGTGTGCCCAAGTTCCGGGCAGGAAACGAGAAAGTGTCACCCGCCTGCCACCAGGCCCCTGATGGCTGCTGGATCACACGATGAGGCTGCCCTGTGGCTTCAGCAGGCTGAGCAGGGTCAGGACAACGGGATGTGGGCTGGGAGGGAGGGGGACTAATACCTGACAGAGATGGAGAAGTCCCCTGGGGAGCTCTGACTGGCACGGATGATGAAGAAACCGACTTCCTTGCCCATGAGCAAGTTCTCCGCCTGGTGTCGCGAGAGGCCCTCATGAAACCACCTGTAGGCGTGAGACAGTGTGGGAGGATGTCAGTGAGACACCCCCAGTGACCCAGAGGGGCAGAGGCTGAGGTCTCTGCAGCACGGAGGGACTCAAGGGACACCAGGCGTCCAGAACCGAGGAGGCAGCCACCCAAGCGCCCCGACCACCACTGACTGCTGCGTGAGGCCAGGAAACAACTGCAGGGCCTGCGTGCTGCCTCCCTGGTTGAGCGCTCGGTAGCCTGGGGATGCCTCCTTGGCCTATAGCACCAGTGGTTTTTGCCCTGCGTGCAGGGCAGAGGGCACCCAGCACCCCTTGTGCACACACTACAGAGAAAGGGGGACTGATAAGGCCACAGAGCAGTTGCCCAGCCATCTCCTGGGTTCTGCCCAGAAATGCCACCTCTACTGTGGAAAAGAGGGAAGAGGTGGCAGCCCTGGTGAGTGCGGTGTGGCTGCAGGTGCATGTGTGTGCATGTGTGTGTGAGGTCAAGACACAGCAAGCACAGTGTGGTGGCTGCAGCCGCAGGGCAGAAGGCATAGCAATGGTGAAGGAGTGTTGTGCTAGAAGGTTACTCCACTCTCCCTTCGAGACAGATGCTTCGTGTTAGGCTCCCTGGTGAGCTGTTCCTCAGGCCTTCTAGACCTGGGGAACTTGAGAAAGGTGTTTGTTACTCCCAGCTCAAGGCTGCAGGGGAAGCTAGCTGCGGTGTGAGGGGCTGCCAGCCTGTAGGGGGTGCTGAAGAGGCTGCCAAATCCCCATTGCACCCCACAGGGCTGAGGGAGCGCGGAGGGAGGGGATGGGATGAGGGCTGGGGTACAGCCAGCAGTAAAGAAAACCCTTCCTGACATCCCTGGGAGTTCCAGGGAGAATGGGGCGGGGGGAGCAGAAGCGGGAAGGGATCTGAAATGGAGAGTTTTGGCTTTTGTGGGTTGGTGGTTTGCTTGGTAAGAATGGAGAATCGCAACAATTGTTAAGCAGGAAGAGCTGAGGTGAAGGCGCAGGACAAGTGTATGTGTCGCAGCAGCTCCATCCGTCAGGGTTGAAGGAGGAGGCATGTGGGGGCAGGTGGGGCTGGCACGGGGCAGGGGGCTCTCTCCTGGTGACTTCCATTGTCTCAGGGATGGGAAGGGGCTGGAGATTTGAGGCCAGAATAGTTAGGAAGATGGCTGAGCAGCAACAACGGCCCAGTCAAAGTCAAGGGGGTCATTCCACCAGCCCAGAGGTCAGCCCGGGGTTACCGGGAGCTCTGTGGCAGACCCTCGCCCCATCCACCGCACCATTCTGGTTTTCTAGCACACCTTTGCTCTCGGGCCACAGGACCGGCTGTGACACAAGATTAGATTTCTATCTAACCCTTGTGGTCAGCGTTCAGACAAAGGATACCACCATCTCAATTTCTCGTTTCCTCTTTTCATGAAGGCAATTTCCTCTTTTTCCTACTTCTCTCCCTGGGGTGAACAGGCCAGCACAGCCCACACAGCCACCTGACTGGCCTCGGGACCCTAGTGCTAGCCAACAGCGCCCCCGCTTGGGAATTCCTGGAAACCCCGAGACTGAAGTCCTTACGGCAGCTAGCTGTTCCACTGATTTTGTTCAAAACTTAACACAGGTGACGCACGTACCTAAAGTGGGATCCCACGGGAAGCGAAATGAGATGCAAATCTCCCTCCCACCCTGGCCTTGGTGAAGGGAGGGCCGTTCTCGGCGGCACCTGGGGTATGCGGGGGCAGCTCCAGCACCTGCTGGAAGAGCAAGGGGCGTGTGCGTGGGCAGCCCTTCTCCACGCAGCGCGCACACAGGGGAGACTCACTCCGGAAACTGGATGTCGATGAAGTTCTTGGGCACGTAGCCTTCCTGGCTCCCCAGCTCTGCCTTGAGCCACTCCTCCTGGTTGCTCAGGATCTGGGGAATGGGGGTACAGAACACACACTGTGATGAGAATCCCGAGGCAGCCAGAGAAGGGGGGTGGGGAAGGCTCAGAGAACACCCTCAGAGTCAGAGGAGAAGCTCAAAGGGACCACCGAGTGGCCCTTGGAAGTCCCCTGGAGCCCCATGGCGGCAGCGGCGGGTTTGTTTTGGAGTTTCGTTTCTCTGGACCTGGAGTTATTTCTGTCACCTTGGGCCACCCTCTGGTGTCATCACCTGGCAGCTCCCAGGGACTTCCTTGAAACCCTCACTCTGTTTCGGAAATGTCTTTGTCTGGGGCCTTAAGCTCCTGTAAGTTCCTCATCAAGTCAGAGGATGGGAAGAGAAACAATGGCTCCATGTTGCTTCTTTTCCCTTCTAGGAAGTAAAAAAAACCTTTAAAAAATGTAACTTTGGGGGCCAACAGCAGACACCATTGCATAGTAAGCTAAGCTTCCATCTGTGGCTCCAGCATCCCATATGGGTGCTGGTTCATGTCCTGGCTGCTCCACTTCCGATCCAGATCCCTGCTTATGGCCTGGGAAAGCAGTGGAGGATGGTCCAAAGCCTTGGGACCCTGTGCCCACACGGGAGACCCAGAAGAGGCTCCTGGCTCCTGGCTTCTAGCTTTGGCTCAGCTCAGCTCCAGCAGTTGCGGTCACTTCGGGAGTGAACCAGTGGTTGAAAGATCTTTCTCTCTGTGTTGCTCTTTCTCTCTGTAATTCTGCCTTTCCAATAAAAATAAAATTCTTAATTTTTTGAAAACTTTTTTTTATTTTTTAACTACACAGATAAAAACTTAAATATCCACCTTGGTATTCTATTCAGTTTGTTTCACAAAATGTTCTTTGGGGCAAAATTTAGGATCCCTGAAATACCTGTCCTATATCAGCTCGCAGAGCCAGTCCTAGCAAAACTGAAAGTTGTGTCTCCTTACTCCCCGGCCCACGCTGACTGGCAGGCGGGGTCTGCTGTCTCCGTTGAGAACATATCTAAAGTACGTGACAGCGGTCATTGGAGGTGAAGACAATGGGCCTGAAGTGGAAAATCCCTCACTGGTACCACTGAGTTAGCCACCCCTCCTTGGCGCTCTCTACCCTGAACATTGAGAAATTCTAAATCTTGGTGATGGCTTAAGCCATTTTCAGTTTCTGCTTCTTGTAGCTGGGAATGTCATCCCTGTAGGAAATCCCAGGATAAAGAAGACAGCAGAAGTCGGTTGGGAGAGACTGGAGCGGAGGCTGCTTGCCCAGGCCATGCAGCAGGTCCCTCGGGACAGGCCGTGAGGAGGGGAGCAGTGCCTCCTGGGAATGCGAGGCCTCAGGGTGGCTGGGGCTGACATTGGCGGTAGGGGAGAACTGGAGCACAGGGCCCGTGTGCTGGGCGACACAGGGTTTTACCCCGAAACATGTGGGCAGCCATTAAGGGGTGCTCAGCAGTGAGATTACATAAAGCAGCAAAGGAGAGGGAGAGCTGTGTTAGAGGGCATGGAGAAAGACGGGGCGGAGAGAAACTGCCTGAGCCCCAATGTGGCCCCCAGGCCAGAGGTGACAGGGCCGGGCTACACAGAGAGGCGAGGGTGTGTGCCACGTTTAGGCAGGCTGACAGTTCTGGTTCTCGGGAGCCAAGTGGGGAGGGCATTCTGGAATGACTCCGGTTTCCAGCTGAGAGACTGAGTGGGTGGGGATGACATCACTGAGCTAGAAGATACAGCAGCAGGAGCAGGGTCAGGAGCCACCCGTAGACTCTGGCTGGTGTGCCCATGAACTTGAGTTCTCCACGGGGGAAACGATGTCAGGGAACTGCTGGGGGTGCTTGGACGCAGGTCAGGGCCAGGGAGCAGAGACTGAGAACGGGGCGAGGGTTGGTGTCAGGAGGTCCCCGTAGGCTTCCTCCTCCTGGAGAAAGGGCTGGGAGGAGAACCGTGGAGAGCTGGAACCCCGTGACAGCCATCACTGCCGAGGCCGAGGAGAGCATGAAGGTCAGCTCGCCCACCACGAGGGCCGGCCAACCAGCCTGTGGAAAACAGGGGTACGGATCCCCCCGTGAAGATGGGATGAGCCCTGCAGAAAGTGTCTGCAGTGGAAAATGTGCCTCTGTCTATAGCCTGGTCCAAGGGAGGACACGGGAGGACATGGAAGGTTTGTGAGTCCCATGGAAGGTTTGTGAGAGCCTTCTACGTGTGTGGTTTTGAACGCAATCGGTATTTGGGTAGAAATAAAAGCGTGCCCCATGTCTGAGCTCGAGTATTACCGAGGACAGAAAACATCAGAGTCTCTGACATCAAATGCGACTGTTGGTGTCCCCAAGGACATGTGGGGATGCGTGCACTGAGATGGGGGATGGGCCAGGGAGGGGGTGGGGACAGAGAATCTAGGTCAGAAAGAAAACAGGGAACTTTTGAGGCAGCCTGGCATCCACATAGAGGGGTAAAGATGGAGTTGCCGGAGCCATCACTCACTCCCACCTTTATGGTTCTGGAATCTGGCCAGGGTAGTGAATGTCAAGTACAGAGACTGAAGAGGAGAAGGAAGGACGGGGCCGCTTGGAAATCGGCTGACACTGGGGGCTTGGTTCTTTGGCCTGAACGCAGATGTAATTCTAGTTATCACAGCTCTTACTCTCCTCACAACCTCTTCCAGAGCCTGAGAGATTATCCTGCGAGGCGCCAGGCCATTTCTCTCTGCCACCTGCAGCTCAGTCCGCCTGAGAGGATGTTTCCCAGGGAGGTGAATGTATAGGCTTTATGATGTGTGGAAGGCAAGGTAATTTTGAAAAAAAAAAAACTTTTTTTCATTTTCTGCCATGAGAAGTATCTTGAGTGGGTGAGGGGGAGGGAGGTGGTTGGGTTTCTTCTGCCCCGTTGAGGGCCCCGAGCCCTGTAACTTCCTGTTCTCATTTCTCAATGTCTCCTGGGTCCCCAGCTGCTCATTGTGCAAACCCCAGCAAGGAGCTCAGCCAAAACCCATGAAGTTTTTCACCCTTGAGTTTACTGTATCTTACTTCTTATCTTGTTCCCTAAGGGAACAATTTTCTGGGTTACATGACCCGAGTGTACATTAGACGTGGGAGAGCAAGAGCCAAAGGAGGGCTGGATGAATTTTAAAATTGGATGAAATTATAGCTCTTAGAGGCTCAGCAGAAACCTGAAGCATTGAAGAGCTCATTAGGTTGGATTAGTGTGTGCTGCTTTGAGGGGCTGTTGTAGCGGGAAGAAATGGGGTCACATTGGACTTCCTACAGAAGCAGGTGGAAGGGCAGTGGGTCAAGAGACATTGGTCAAAGCTGTCGGCCTATTCCGATGGCCAATTCCAGTGTAATTCCGGGGTTGCGCGTAGCTGCAGGGACATGAGTAATCGGGTTCTTGACAGAAGATGGGGATCCAACTGCCGGCAGGCATTCCCTGCTTATCTTTCACTGGCTACTCCATGCGGATCAGCACCTACCGAGTGCCTGCTGTTGGCATGTGAGTGCTGGGAATATAGAGGAACATAAATGGGGTTGTGGGGCGGGTTCTGTGGACCCTCTCATGAGACACTGGGGTTTTTGGCACTGGAGGTTACACAGGAGACAGCATGCCAGAGAGTTGCCGGGGCAGCTGAGCGCTGCCTCTGAGACAAATCTTGGAGGTCTTAAGTGGTGTCACCTTTCCTGGAAGGAAGCAGGGGCAGCCATCGCAGGACCAGCAAGCCCAGTCTGGCTTTTGCTTCACTGCACAGCTGCCTGATGCAGCATTTGAAAAGGGGCAGAGGCTGGCTTTCTGATGGAATTCTAAATGAGAAATGCCATCTAGCGATTCAAGGAACACACGCCGTGCACCTGTCAGGGCTGTGGCTTGTGTGGGATGCTGGGAGACACAAAGGGTGAGTCGGCACAGCTCTGCTCTTGGGGCGTTCACGTCCACGCCTTCATCAGGTCCCAGGAGGCTGGTGTGCCTCAGAGCTGGACCCTGAGAGCTGTGGCAAGCACAGCCAAAAACACACACAAGAGTAAGGGCGGCGACAGGAGGTGGGTGCAGGGTTGGGGGGTGTGAGACCACAGAAGCACAGCTTTCCCGTACGTCGCTGTCATGTGAGGCCAGGTTGTAAGTGCCTTGAAATGCAATGTGTGGTCAGACGCAGGGAGGAGCTGGGGCGGTAAGTGGTGGAGGGTTTCATGGCGAAGGTGGTCAAGTGTGTACTTTAGTTTTATGTTCAGTGAGGGGTCGGGGAACCTGGGACAGGACAGCGTGTTACAGTGGGACAGAGGAGCACTACAAACACAAAGATGCCCGTATGTTTGTGTGTGTGTGTGTGTGTGTGTCCGGAAGGGTGCATATGCACATGTGTGTAGTACACGCATGTGTGTACCTATGTGCATGTGGACGTGCACACACTATGAGGGTCTTTGTGTGGATTTGCCTGTGTGCATGATAAGATTAGAGGGTGGGTTGAGGTCGGAAGGTTCAGATTTCAATCAGCTCGTAATGGGGAAGCATTGAAGGCCTTTGAGGAACTGGTTTCAGATCCTTCCAGAAAAATCCTCTGGGATCCGTATGTGTAATGATTGGAGGAAGAGACAGGAGGCCATGAAGGGCTGCGGTGGCCATAGCAGTCAATGCTGCCGCTGCCGTGACAGCCACTCACTAGGTGTCTGCTTGGGTTGGGGTCCTGCAAGCTGGCCTCTCCCGCCGCAGAGAGAGGAATGCCCAGGTGGAACAAGGGGGACAGGCCTTGGGTTTGAACACAGACCAGTCTGACCACCCCAAAGTTCCTGCCCTTCCCCCTGTGACACAGTTCTTCCCAGGAAACAAGGAATTGCCCAAACGATGTCATGAAAGGCAGACATTCTGAGCTTAGGCGTCAGACATAGCTTCCCCAGATCCTGGCAGGGTCACCTTCCAGCCATGTGATCTTGGACACCTGGCTGAGCCCTTTAGCTACAATTCCATATTTCTAACATGGAGGACAGGGCAGTGTCCACCTTGCAGGTCTGCTGAGCAGAGGGTGCAAGGTCTGCCTCCATCCTGTCTGGGCACATGTTGCTACGGATCATCACGATTTGGCATGTGAGGCACTGGTGAGGGCTGAAGCTGCTGGCTTGGTGCCAGGAGATCCTGGGAGTGCCTGGGGGTGGTAGTTGAGTGATTCTGGAATCGTTGGGTTAGGGGTTGCAGGCAGCTGGCAGTGTGGGTCAAGGGGTTCTAGAGAGAAGTTGGAGCTGGAGCTGCAGGCTGGGGCTCAGAGGTGAGAACAGAAGTAGAGAGTGGGGGAGATGGCTCCGAGAGAGCAGGGAAGGGCAGACAGTCCAGGGCGGAGTCTGCAGCAAGATCACCTTTCAAGGAGGACTGTGGCCCTGCAGCAAGAAGGAGGCAGGCTGTCACATGATGCAGGCAACAGATGGGGAGGGGCTGTCATATTAGTGCTTGGGCAAAGAGGCAGATTCCAGGGTGTGGTGAAATGAACGGGGAGAGGAAGTGGCAGGAGCCCAGGGAAGGGACTCTTTCCTAATACAGGGGACAGAAATGAGGAGCGGGGTCAGGAAACAGAGCCAGCCCCCTTTCACTCTCTTGGGAAACAGGGAAAACCTCAGTGGGAGACAAAGTTCTGTTGCAAACAGGAGATGAGGCTGGGAACTAGACAGGCTCCTCTTGGGTCCCAAGGCCTCAGAGAGGAGGGAATATCTCACCCCCATAGTAAGCCCCTCTGTGACCTAAGCAAGGTCACTTGCTTGGACTAGAGCTCTGCCAGGATCCTTAGCTGTACCAGCTGCTGCCAGCCACACTTCCAGATCTCACCTGTCAGGTGCTACGACAAGGCAGCCTAGGGATGGTGTCCAATGTCCAAACCCCAGAAGAAGCCAGTCTGCCCAGCTGGCCCTCCACAGATGCTTTCCAAGCTGCCTGTTCGCACAGCGACAAGGTTTTTGAGTAGCAGGTGTCTCTCTCAATGGTGTGACAATGGTAGCCTCCATGCCACTAGGTATCTGAGAAGGCCCAGCTGGGCTGCTGAGGATAGTGGGTCTGCATGGAGGCCAGGCCAAGGCCCCGGCACCACATCTTCCCAAGGAATGTGTGTGTGTGTGTGTGGCCTGAAAGGTGGACCTGGTCCCAGGCCACTTCAGCGCAGTAAGTGGCCATTATGGCTCAAGTGTGGCTGGAGACAAGCTCTCAGAAGCCCTAAGTGTGGCCAAGTGCACCTGACCTCTGTGGGGCTCACCCCACAGCCCACAGTCCTCTTGGCCCCCCCATCTCTCTACCTGGCCAGTTCTCCCATAGTCCAGACAGGTTTAAAAGACCAGTTTACTTTGGCACAAAAACTTTCAAAATTCACCTGCTGCTTTTTTATCACACAAACACATTCCCCGGGGCCTAGCTGAGCCGCTCTCCTTGGGCTGAGCCTGTGCTCAGCTTGTCTTTGTTCTTCCTTCTCCCGCTAAGCTTTAGGCTGCAGATGCTCCTGGCAGGGCCACATGACTGCACATCCCACTGCCTCCCACAAAAGGTGAAACCCACCCTGCCCTGTCACTCCATGATTCAGCCAAGAGCATCTGCAACTGCCCTGGGATGGGCGTGGATGCCTCTCCCTGACCCCTGGAACCCCAGGCACAACCTGGACAGTAGCTTTTGCTGACTCCATGTTTGCACTTGCTGGCATGTACACACACAACTCAAATTGGAGGTAAGCTTATCCCTTCAGAGGGAACCGTGGCCCTTCAGAGACCAAGCAGGGACAGCCACCCTGCCTTGGCAGGGGAACCAAAACTGCCTGCTGCCCGCCTACAGCCACACAGCACCCACCTTGAGGATGTCTCCTGTGTGAAAACTCAGCTCATCCTCCCCCGAGGCAGTGAAATCGAACTTGGCGACAGCTTCCATGTTACGACCACGATGATGACGGTGTGAGGCTGCAAGAGAAATCGCGAGGTCATTGTTGCCATTCTGCTAAGGGGGGAGGGTCCCTGAGCAGATGGCGTTGCCTGGCAGCCTCGGCGGCTGGCAGGATCCACCAAGCCCTGGGGGCTACTGGGCAGGACTGCGTGCAGCAGGGGAGAGCTGGTGCCGGCCAGCAGGCCGAGCAGCTGGAGCCAAGGGTTGAGGTGCCTCCGAGGCCCCAGGTGTGGGGAGCAGGCCTGTCACAGCCTGGCCCTCTCCTTTCAGCTCCCTGTGTCTGTCCGGGCCTGTCACCGTGTCTGGGGCATCTCTGCTTCCTTCTGATAAGGACGAGAGGCGGGCTGTCATCCGCAACTGGGGCCCTCCTGGGGCCGGACGCCTGTTCTGTGAGCATCCCATCCCCAGGCAGCAGCTATATTTAACCAGGCGGTGTTAATGACACAGATGCCATTTGCTCTTTTATATCTGAATCAGTTAAGGGGGCAGCTGCTGATCAGGGAGCAGCGTGCCGGCCTCCTGCCAGGCGTGAGTGTAGACAGCATTTTGGTCCTGGAGGAGGCAGCCCCTGTGGGCCGGGCGGCATTCTCTTCTTACGCCGTAAATCAAGTGCATCTTGGAAACTGTCTTTTCATGGTCTTTCTGAATTGAGTTAAAATATTAGCCTCTCCAAAGATGGGCACTAGGTAGGGCAAAGACAAGTCCCCTACCCAGGACAAGAAGTAGAAATGCTACTCTTTTCTTGGCAGACAAACAGCAGGTCATAGGAACAGTGGCAAGCAGCTGGTCTCAGTTTCCTCATCTGTGAAATGGACAGCTATGATAGTTCATGAATCAGGTTGGGACATGAAACTATAAAGGAGAGGTCAAGTTCCCAGTGCTCACAGGAAAACCATGTCATGAAAATACCTGGCATGGATTTCAATTCTTTGTTATTTTTTTAAAGATTTATTTATTTTTTTATTATGTTTTTATTGGAAAGGCAGATATACAGAGAGGAGACAGAGAGGAAGATCCTGCGTCCGATGATTCACTCCCCAAGTGAGTGCAACAGCTGATGCTATGCCGAGCTGAAGCCAGGAGCCTCTTCCGGGTCTCCCACGCAGGTGCAGGGTCCCAAAGCTTTGGGCCGTCCTCGACTGCTTTCCCAGGCCACAGGCAGGGAGCTGGATGGGAAGCGGGGCTGCCGGGATAGAACCGGCGCCCATATGGGATCCTGGGCGTGCAAGGCGAGGACCTTAACCACTGCACCACGGCGCTGGGCCAGGATTTCAATTCTTTGTTCCAAACAGACTCACCTCTGAATTCCATTAGCTTTTTTTTTTTTTTTTTTTAAGGCATTTAGCTTATTTATCAAAAAAATTATTTTGCTAGAAGGTTTGAGTACTATAATTTTACATGATTATAATCTTTAAATAAATTCTTTGGCTTTAGATTTTTGAAGTACTCTTCCATAAAATAAAGGGAAAAAGAGGCAGCCCACCCAGAAGCACATTGGTTCTCTTGTTTCCCAGCAACCCCCTCTGAAACTTTTCTCCTTTTGGGGGCCCATGCTGTGTCATTGCATGTTTAGCTGCTGACTGCAAGGCCACATCACATGTAATAAATAAGTACTGGTTTAGGACTCAGCTGCTCTACTTCTGATCCAGCTCCCTGCTAATACACCTGGGAAAGCAACGGAGACTTCTGCATTCACCTGAGAGACCAGAAGGAAGCTCCCGGCTCTAGGCTTCAGACAGGCCCAGCAGCCCCAGCCACTGCAATCAATAAATGTGCAGCTCCCTCTCCCAGACCGTCAAATCCTTTGAGTCTCCGCTAAGGCAGCTTACTGTCAGGCCACTGTCTAGAAACTTAACCCTGGGTGCATTCATCTGCATCAGAATTTCCCTAAGTCTCAAGTTCCTTTGCTTTGTTAATCAGCAACCCTCAGACCTGACACACGTGGACCAGCGGCTGGAGCCGTGGCGTGCATAAGCAGTAGGAATGTCTGCCAACATAAGCAAGATTTGGGCAAAGAAGGATGCGGCTGCAGGTGGCAGGGCACAGCACAGGGAGATCAGAGGCTGGCAGGCGACTGCAAGCGGGCGATAGCGAGGGGCTCGTGTCTCAGATTTTCCACATCTGCTTGGTCTTCCAAGTGTAATTTGCTGAGATGAATATTATCAATCCAGAGCCAAAACCAGCCCAGGAGTCCAAGAAAAAGTTATGGTGCACTTTATCGCCAACGGGAACGCCTTCCCAAAGGACAACGTAAATACTCATACAAGGGGTCTTCAGAAACCTCGTAATTAAAATAAAAAGGTGCGTGAGTTTCACTATTTTTTCTTATCTAGAAATAAACATCTCCTAATGTGACTTTCCATGAACGTTTTGAAGTTCCTGTGCACATTCTTTGCGGATGCTCCCTGGGCTGCTGCCTGCCCCATTCATTAACACTGGACATCTTTGCCGATTCGATTCAGCCCATTAATGCTAACATGAAAAGCTTCTTCTAATTAAGGCCTTGCTCCTGGTCGGCAGGCAGACAGGGGCTTCTCTGGGTCACCTTTTTGGAGTCATGGAGGGGAACTGGTCATTTCAAGAGATTAAGTGTCAGGTGAATGGCTCTTAAAACCACGATCCCATTTCTATGCAAATTGAGCTTAATAAGCAGCAGGGGGGCGAAAGAGAAGCCAATGTAAACTATTAGAAAGTTGTGTAAATTAGAGATAAAAAAAAAAAAAAGAAAGAAAGAAAGACACCATGCAAGGCACATGTGTGACCTTGTGCTTGGGAACCTCCTGCAGACAACCCAGCTAACAGCTTTGTGCTGGACACGGGGTCCAGCCTGGCTGTCAGTTCCCCCAGGAAGATGGAGAGAGGAATCCAACTGCTTCTTGAACAGTGGTGGTTTTCTCTGCCTTTCTCCCAGGAGGCAGGCAGTGAGTGGGAAAGTAAAAAACAGGCACGTCACAGAGCTCTTTGGCTTATAATATTAATCCTGGCTAAAAAAAAAAAAAAAAAAAACCTCAATTAAGCAGGCCTTTACTGAGAGAGAGAGAGAGAGAGAGAGAGAGAGAGAGAGAGAGAGAGAGAGAGTTTGCTTCTCTTTCTATTCATGAGATGCAGCGTGGTGGACTGCTGTTCTCCAGCAGGGTTAGACTGGGAGACGCCACTTCCGTCCAATCACAGGCTCCTGAATCACCCCTAATGACAGAGAAGGCAAATGCTGCCCCCAGGGGTCACCTTCTGTTGGATCATAAAAATGCATGGGGATTTATATCCCATTCTTCTATATCCGTGTGCGTGTACTTTGCACAAACAAAGAAGAGCAAACTAATGTAGTGTATTCAGCAGGTATCAACCTATGTTATCATCTGTACCTGCCACCACTACAGGCTGCATCTGGGGAATCACAAAAATACATGCTGCAGGCAAAGACTGGGTAGCAACAACAGAGAGAGAGAGAGAGAATGCAGTAACCTGAATTCAAGGGTGTGAGGAGCCTTCTGGCTGCTGTTTGTAATTTGCATGCTTCTGATCCCTGGGGAGGATGAAGACAGAGCCCCCTGCACAGCAAACCTCACAGATGGATTAAATGCGCTCTCCTTGCCAGAGACGGCTTGATAAATCGCTGAAATGTACCTGCCACACAGTGGGGAAGTCGCAGCCGCTCGGTGGGGGTGATGGAGGAGGTGGTGGTGGCAGAGAGTAGGGCCAAGCCATCTCCAGAAGCACCCCCTCAAGCCCCCTGCTGATGCCATTTGCCGAGCCCTAATGCCAACTCACTTCTCATCAGCCCTGTGTGTCCTTCTCTCATCCCCCCTCCGGAGTGTATGCGGCTGCCCCTTAGCAGCCGGGCGACCCAGGCTGCTCTGCCCCTGCATTCCCACGGAAGCTGCTGCTGCCGCCAACACCTCGAAAACCATCCAGCTTGGGGAATGCGTGCCTTCTTCTACAACACGGTCGCCTCCGCAGGAGAAAGCTGAAGCCGTGGACAGTGCTGGAAAAATAGCCTGGTCACAACCACCAGACACAGAAGGCAGAAATGCAGCATTACCCTGAAATGCAACCCGGCAAGAAACTTCTCGAACGATTTCAGCTCCTCCTTAGGTTGGCTATGAATAGCCAAGGTTTCCATTTTATGTATCTCTTAAAAGAGCAATTGCATAACACCACAAAGCTAGGCAAAGCCTGACGCGCAGGACTCAGCCTAGTCCTGAATTGAATCAGCGATCCCACGTCCTATTTGCTGGCGACAGCTCCCCTGCGAATACTTCCCCCAGTTTGTATTGTAATTCGGGTAACATAATGTCTTGAAATTAAGAGAGAGCGGGGGGTGGGGGGAGAGAAAGAGAGAGAGAGAGAAGCATCGCTTTCTTCCTAAGTATTGTTTATCACCTACTTCTTGGGACATTTGCAATAAACGTAATTTTTATGAGTTTGTCTCCTGCATGCGATGCAGCAAAGTGAAGAGGGTGCACGGTCGGGCTTGGGCTGCAGCCACAAGAGGAACTCAGTGAAATTCTAAGCTCTCTCCCACATCACTTCACGTAGAGGCTCCGAGTTTGCAGCCCCTCTGTTGTTGCTAAGGCAGAGCCTCTGTCTCTTAGAGACAACACTGAACGAGGGTGCATTTTCTCCCCAAGGGAGCCACAAGGTCAGCTCAGTGACTTCTCTGAAGGGAAAGACCTTGCTTTGCGGGAGAAGACGATTACAGCTCAGCCCCACTGTACACAATAGGCAGGTTCCCAAGCAGGGGCAATGAACAGAATGTTTGTAAATGGAATCATTTCAGCGTGTTTTATGGAGGCTCACTCTGTAAAGGAACCCTGTGGCGAATCCTTTACAGAACAAGAAGGGGAAATTTGTTATGCAAATAACTACCTTTTAATTTCTCTCTTGAAAAGTCTGGGTTTTCAGGCAATTGTGTATTGAAACAGAGTGCACCTGTATAGGTTCTCCCAGCTCTGCACACTGGGGGCTGCATCAATATGAGTTTCCCCTCTTCTTGATTCTCAAAGCACTTAAAAAGAAA